TTTTAAAAAGAAAGAAATCTGCACAATAGCATGATTCATCCAAAATGTGTGGCCCATTGATACAGGACTGCAAAGGAGGGGGATACAGGTGCCATAGACACTTTTTGCCATAGAAACAAACATTACACACACACACACACACACACACACACACGTAAGATAAATTTGTAAAACTGTGGAAGATTACAACTTAAAACTTGAAAAGACTAATTTTTAACATCTTTTTCAAAAATGTATATCAGTGCTTGGTGTCACAAGTCTTTAATTCCAGCACTTGGGAGACTGAGGCAGGAGGATCTCAAGTTTGATGCCAGCTTGGGCTACATAGTGAGACCTTGCCTCAAAAAACAAAAAAAGAAAGAAAAGAAAAAAAAAAGAAACAACATAGAACCACCGCTAAGGAAAAAATTATATATACATGTAAATGTGCATATATATGCATATTTATACCTATCCTTCTATCATCTATCTATCTATCTATCTATCTATCTATCTATCTATCTATCTATCTATATCAGGGGTTTCTATGTATCAGGAACCTTGGGAACTGTGTTTTTCTTTTCTAGATTACTATGAAATTTGTACAAATCATTATCACTTCCATTTTCTCTAATACTTTACTTAAATATTTATTTATTTTGCAATGCCAGGGATTGAACCCAAGGCCTCACACATACTAGGCAAATACTGTACCACTGAGCTACATCTCAGCCCCTAATTTTCTTATACTTTCATTTAAGCCAATGTACTTGTCAACTACCAGTCTCCCAGGGACATTAGTGAACAAAGCTTTAGAAGCAGGTGCTATAAAATTATCATAAAGCACACCAAGAAAATAACGTAACGCAGCCTTGCTTCCTTTCCTTTGGAGTTCTAAATAAGTTGAAACCCTTTTCCCAAAATGTATTTGCCTAATCATGGTAGAAGCTGACTGGTTTCCTATATTACTGAACTCAGCTGCTCTTGCATGTCTCTAAAACACAATTGCAGAATACAGCTCTCTCTTTCTGATTCCATGCAGGGTAAGGCAGGCTTTATGTGCAATTTTTCTTTAACACATAATAAATGAGTACATTAACATTTGAGTTTATAATATCACTCATTTATAGATTATCTCTTTTGTGGAAAAGATTCATTTCATCATTTCTTTTCTAGAAATGACTCATTTGAATTTATATTTCATAGTAATTGTTACATTTTCTCTTAAGAGTCAATAACCAGGGCTGGTGGAGTGGCTCAAGTGGTAGAGCACCTATCTAGCAGATGCAATGCCCTGAGTTCAAATCCCAGTGTCACCAGAAAACAAACAAGACAAAAAAGATTCAATGACCATTCATTTCTCAAGTTATATATTGAGTGGACTAGGCACTGGGGTATGTATTAATGATCCCCAGTTAATCTCTGATCTTAAGAATCCCTCAAACAATAAATAAGGAGTCAGCGAGCAGTGCCACAATTTTTTCCAGTATATGAACCTCTAGTCATCTGCCAGGGTAATTTGTTCTCAGACTCCTCAAATGTGCCTCATTCCGGGTCTCATACCTTTTAGGTCATGAGGGTTAATCAGTGCTTCCTATGGGCCAGATGCTATATTTATACTAATTTGCCATTATCTTCTCAATAACCCTATCAATAGACACTATTAATACTTCTGTTCATGGACAAGCAGAACAACCTGACGTGTTCTACATTGCTAAAAAGTCCCGGAGTTAGGACCGAAGCTCCAGCAGTCTGGCTCCAGGACCTGAGTTTTTAAATCCTGTACATATTGTCTTTTGGACATATTTAAGTGAGTTCTCCTACAGAGGTTTAATTCCTGCCAAGCACACTCTTAGGTAAGAGATGGCTTGAGCTCATTTGGAGAATATAGCTAAAACCACATGGACCAGTGAGAAATCCCATGGGACAGGACACTCTTGTCCCCCTCTCTGTTCCTCGAGTGGAGTAACATGGCTAGTCCATCCTGCCAACCGCTAAGTAAGTCTTCATGACTCCTCTCTGTGTGTGGTCCCTGCCCATAGCCCTGTCATCCTAGAGAGATTAAAACTGTTCCCTGTGAGGCAGAATAGGGGCAAAGTAGGTGAGGCACAAAATCTTTCTTGCATGACTCTGAGAACAAGCATCTTCTGAAACATTGCAAGCAGTATGCCTTCTTCACCTCTCCTGGTTGTGTCAACATTTGCCCACCATCCCGCAGACTCTGGTGTGACTTCCCTGTGTTCACACCATGTGAATGGAATGTGTTTACACTTTGAGGAAGTTAGAAGTTGGAAGTGGCCAGAATGTGTTCACATGCCAAGAAAGCAGAAGTGGATGGAATGTATTCACATGCCAAGAAAGGAAGCAGAAGTGAATGGAATGTGCTCATGCCCTCCAAGGAAGTGGAAGTGGATGGAATCACAGGAACTCTTTCAGAGCATTTGTTCTCTCCTGATCTCTTTCTTAGGCTAGTGAGTCATTCAATTCTACTTACTGATTGAAATCACAATAATTAGGAACACAGAGGAAAATAAATTAGGATAACATTTAATTGTAAAATATTTTTAAGATGATACAGCTTATGCTATTTCTTCATGTATGGGTAAATTGAAATAATTTTAAAATGCAAGTTTTCAGAAGACTGGGAGGTTTTATTACTGACTGATATGGAGCTCTGTGCTATAACTGGAAAATGCAGGAACTTAGAATGTGCTGGAAAGAAGATATGGCATTACATGCCATGGGTCTACGAATAGTTTAAAAATAATCCCCCCCATTCCTTGTAGGGTATATATATATATTTTTTCAGAATGCTTAGGATGAGTTCTACTATATACATGCTTAAAAGAAAGGCAGAAAGCACCCCCAAAGAAGTGGGACCCTGCAAGGTGTTGAGTTAATGGATTCAGAAAAGTCAGAGTAAGGGGCTGCAGTCCCTTGTGGAAGCCTTGTGCCCTCCACAAAACCTTGTCAGATTTTTTGATGAGGTTGCAGTGAGAAATCCTCCTGGGAGCACTCAAAAGGGTCCATCATAATTTTCTAGACAAAGGCAAGTGTGGTCAGGATTATTCCACTGTGACAATACTACCTATGTTCTGAGCAGAACTTTTGCTCTTAAGGCTTGGAGCAATGGAATAATTTTAATCCCAGTTTCAAAGTAGTAAGTAATTCTATTCAACAAATCCCATGGCAATTCTCTTATGGATGCCATTCCTAAACGCTAAGCCCACATTTCTGCAAGTTCTCCCACTATATACCCAAGATGAGTATCTCACTGTGCCCCTTCTGGGGACTGCAGACATCTCTTGTGACAGCATAAAGCAACACTGCCTGAAAATGGACCTGACTGATGTCTTAGCAATTCAAGTTTTTGTCTCTACTTATTGTATACATTGGCTCTGTAGAGGCTGGGATGGAGAGGAGGGATGTGGATGATGACCAAGATGCAATTGTTCACGTACTTAGTGACTACTGCTGCAATCTTGGGCATGAAGCAAGGTGGGTTCAGGGAGACAGAAGCCATGAGAAGGACAGGTCTCTTTTGAGAAAGAGATATCCTTAAAGTTGCAGGCACAATGAAGTGTGAGCAGACCTGGAAGGGGATCATGGATATGCAGAGCAACTGCCTAACCGAACCCAAAGAGCTCTGGCCAAAAGGCTTCCCAGAAAAGACAGGGCACTGAGGTAAGATGAATCAGCGCCTGCCAAACAAAAGGGCGGCAGGGGGCTGTGGGCCAGGAGTATTTGACCCACAGGCAATGGAAGGGAAGGCCCCCAGCTTGTGAATGACATCTCAGGATGGGGCTAATTTCTACTTGCTTGCTATTGTATGGACACCTCTGCCTTTGTTCACCATTTTCAACACAGAATTTGTGGACTTGGCAATACTTTCCAGTTTGCCAAGGACTTTCATTTATTATCCTGACTACCATGCACAGCATTCAGCAAGACTGCAAAGCTACTGCAGGAACACTATGAGTTGTAAAGTATACTTGGTAGTGAGGCAGATTGGACAGTAGGGAAAGTTTGAGACTGTTAATAACCATGCAGATTGATTTAGAGCACCTTGCTCAGCCCTTCCTTACCCATCCACTCTGAGCCCAGAGAGCTCCATTCCAATTGTAAATCCTTTGCTAGGTTAAATTAAAGTGGAAATTTCTTTCCGTCTGGACTTAGGACACCAGAGAATTAGCACAGGTGTATGCATGAGCCTGCCCAGCTCCTCCCCCTGGCCAGAAGGTCATTGGAGACAGGAAGTCTTCTCTCCACCTTCAAGGTTAAGGATGATATAAAAATAACCTAAAATAAAAGTTCTTCTCTTTTTTTTCCTGCATGCAGCACCTCCATTCCACCAACAGAGACCACACCTGTAATCCCTTCCCTTATTCCTATAATAAAACTCTGTTATTTCACTCACTACATGTTCTGCTTGGATTCTTCCACCCCAGCACAAGGACCAAAACCTGACTAGAATCATCAGTGACTTCAACAGCAGTAGTTTAGTAAAACCTCAGGAAGAACAGATGGAAAAGAAGAAGATACTGTCTCAGATGAAATAAAAATTATAATGAAGCCCAGGCCAGGGCAACCTTACCCAGAAAATGTCACAGGTTGGTATCTAAAGCTGCAAGGCTAACTGTGTGGCCTTGCTTCCTAGGCCACAGGACTGTGAGCCCATGGTGGGAGGAAAGCACCCATCTTCCTGGTTTCCTCTTTCCTTTCCTTCTTGCCTCCAAGGTCACCAGTGGTCTCTTGTCTAAGGAGATGATTTCTTATCTTACCAAATATAGACTGGCCACTTTTCTAAATTTTCAATAACAAGCCCCAGATAGCAACTCATTCTTAGCTGATCCTTTTACCCATCAAAGCTTACTTATTCCCTTCAGATATGACCAAGGGGAATGGTATAATAGTGAATTACAGATGATGGTGCTTCAATGAATGACCAGCACTGTGAAGCAGTGGCCATATAGTTCAATGCAACCAGTGTCTTGAAGGGACCGTCAGTGACAAAGACTCACCTGTGGCAAAGACAACATTCCTGGAGACCAGACGGTGCTCCACGATGGAGAACTGCGGGAGCTCAATCCTTTCTACGCCAGTAACAGCTTTGTCCCCGCCACGCCAGTAAAATTCAATGTCATCCGTGGTGTAGCCATCTACCAGGAGAGAGAAGCAATGCATGGTGGATATGAGACACTGTTTTGCATTAATACACGCCAAACAAATTATCCATTTAATAAAATGGAAATAAGGGCTCTGCTATATTTGAAGATTTGTTTAGTGGGTTTGTCCATGACAAGTGTCATCAAAGAACCAATTTTCAAAGATTCGCGTGTTACCGCTGTGATGTGATTTGTACCATCCTGGTCTTGAAATGTAGAGAAACTGGACCTAAAGAATAACTTTAGAGTTGGCCCAGACATCACACAGAGGTGGATTTGACACACATCTTCTCAGCAACAAATAAGAAGACAGTAAGAGAAGATGAGAACTCAGGTGTAAAGGATTCTGGAGAGGCAACTTCCCTTATGGGCTAAGGTGAAAGACTGCAGGCAAAATTACCCAATCAGTGATTGGTTACAACAGCAGTGTTGTCCTATGTGGGTTTTTGTGGTCAGTCTGCCCACCTCAGAAATGCCTTTCACTAGGAGACTCCTGGCATGAAAGATTGGCACTGTGTTCATTAGAAGAGTGGTCATTAGCTGGGTTTCAACTATAAAGAGATCTTGGCACAACGTTCATGTTCACTTTGGAATCTCCTTGAGAATGAGTGAGTAAGTGGGACAAGGAAGTCCAGTTTTTGTTTGTAATGCTCAAGAGGTTCCTAAAGAATTAGGTCACTTTATCCAATAAGACCAATTAAAACACAGATCTGAAGAAAAACATTGCTTCACCATAACAGAGTTTTAGATTTAAACATACACAACAGAAGTGTAGACACTCAATATTTGATGTTAGACAATTGGACCAAAGTTGTGGGGATATTTTCCCCCATAGCTAATGTCATCTCCCTGCGCAGTCTTCCATCCCCTCTGTGCAAATCATGATGGTAATACCTCTAATCTGCTCATTTCCTTCTGATTCTCTCATATTCCATTCTGACCCAGCATCCGTGACATTTTTTAATGAAAACACACACCTGACCACACCACTCCTATGCTTAAAAGCCTCAAATGCTTCCCAATGCAATTGGTAAAACAGGTTCAAACTCCTCACAAGGACCTCATGAACCTACAAGACTGACCTCTGTGTGCCTCTCCTCCCTTTCCTCCATGCACCAACCGAACCTCACTAGCCTGCTCTTACCACTCAGACCACACCACCTTGCCCAGGGCTTGTGTCCTCTGCAGGTAGTACTACCAGATCTTCACATGGCTCACTCTTTGTGTTTATATTTCAACTTACTTAAAGCCCTCTTGCAGAAGCCCTCCCTCAGATTCCACCTCCTGAGGTGGAATCTCACAATCCTCAACAACCCTTTTATCAGGCTTCATTTTCTTTAACATTTTTATCATTGTTTTTGTCTGCTTCCTATCTTTTCTGAAACATAAACTCTGTCTGTATAGCATTTTGTCTGTCTTCTCTATGTATTCCTGGGTTTATAACAGTGCCTGCATAGGAGCTGTGGGAGTAGCTCAGTGGTAGAGCACTTACTTAGCATGCAGAAGGTCCTGGATCCAATCCCAGACACCAAAAACAAAATAAAACAAAAAATAAAACTTAAAAAAAAGGCAGCACATGCATTGAGTTGAAGTCCTGTAAGTACTTGTTGTATAAGTTCATAGATAATGAATTTACCCTCATGCTAAGAAAAAAGCAACATCTATCTTTTCTCTATTCCTAATACAGAGATGTGACAGTTGGGCCACCAGAAAATTGGGACAATTGTTCTTCCACTCAAATACTTTCACTATGGGTTCTTTGCAGGGGTGAGGACTTGCATAATGAAGGAATCTCATTACAGATCTTTTTGCTCATTGTCCCCTGCTACCTATGCATAGCAGCTACAGAAGCCACACTATCAGAAGTAGCTCACTATGTGTCAAGGCACTTGTGATAGGAGATTCTTACTTTCTTAGACCTGACGTTTGCTTTCCTGGAACTTCTTTGTCACTTTGCTTTGTCTTTTGGCCATAGAGCATCAATTTAACGTACTAGGATAATCCTTCAACAGAATTATCATCTATCCCTTGAGCCTTCTGTTCTCTGTGGTAAATGTCCCCAGATGACTCAATTATGCATCACTTGACATGATTTTAGTCCCCCATCTTCTTTGAAAAAACACTCTCAGAAAGCAGTGTGGAAGTGTGGAAGCACAGTGTGGCTGGCTGCATCCAGGACCTAACACCAGCCCCCATCCGGGCAATCTCTCCATATGTTTATGCACAGATCTCACCATGAATGTATCCAGTGACACTGCAGAGTCAAAGTCATTTAACCACCACGAAGTCAGTATGATCACTGACAAGCCTTAATCCAGCTAAGGCTTGTAATAAACCAGTCTTATAACAGGTCAAGATCAACAACAATGACAGGATCCTGGTGAGGCAGGAGGTGACGTTCAGGTAGCAGAAGGCACATCTGTTTGTTAGATGTTACACATGTAGCCCTTGCCCTAGCTGTAGAAGTACTCAACACTGAATTATCAATAAAGCATCTGAACACTCCTCAAATTGAAGAAAATTACCAAGATGCAGAAATGATCTGCTCATAAGGCTGAGATCCTGATGGGAAATGAATTTCTCTCCAACTTCCCAGGGTCCCAGCAGTGCAGCCACTCATGCGTGATGAAGCATATTGTAAGAAAATTGCATCTCAGTGTTCACGCCCTTCTCGCTCAACGGGCTGAGATGGGGAGCATTTGTTTTCTTATGTTTAACACAACGAACACTCTCTTAACCAGATTAGAATAAAGAACTCTTTGTCCCTTTCTCACAATCTTTTTGTTTTCCTGTCTCTACTTTGCTGTCTTTTCCTCTGTATTGTATGTGTATGTGTATGTGTCTGTCTGTCTTTCTGTTTATGTCTTTCTCCCTCTGTTAAGATAGTAAAACTTACAGAGTGGAGAGTTACGCCTTTACTTTTTTCTTTTTTCTTTTTTTTTTCATGTGCTTGGGAGAAAACCCAGGACTTTGTGCATGCTAGACAAGCAGTCTAGTAGCTCTACCACTGAACTACATCCCCAGTCTAATTTTTAAGATAGATAAAAAGTATGACATGAACATCAATGCCTTGGTAAAGATGCTAAAAATGACAAAGAACCTATAGCACCAAGTGGAAGAAAAAGAGACCCGACCCAGATACACACAGCTTTCAATTTCCAGAGTGCAGTTCTGCTCATCCAGTGGGTATCTTCTTAGGTCCATCATGCATGCTGCTGTCGTGGTGATTCTGAAATACACAGAGTGAGGGGAGATGGTAAAGATATCTGCCATATGGAACCCTCTTCCCCAGAGTTCCCCTGGAGTATACACTGGGAAACCTGAAGGAGTAAAAGAAACTTTGAATATACTACAGATTGACTTTATCAGGAAAACAACACAAAACTTTATTTAATTTTCTTGAAATGCTTTTAATTAACAAATTAAAAACTTTATATATTAATAGTATAGAACGCGATGTTTTGAAATATGCATACATTGTAGAATGGTATTAACACAGGCATTGAACATACTTATCTTTTTGTGGTGACGACACATAATCTATTCTTTTAGCAACTTTCATTGCATCATTATTAACTAGAGAAAACATGTTGTAACCAATCAAAGGTATCTAAGGAAGTTCTCACCTTCAATTTTTGTTTTGTTCCTTTTTCTATTGACTCTTTAACCTCTAACAGAACTTTTGGGAAAAACTGATTAGGTTAAGACAGCTCTTCGATTTTCCCATGTAAAATGGTGAAGTAACTACCACTCTTCTGCTTGTTTTTATTGTATCATACTTGTCTATTGGACTGAATTTCGCCAGGTGATCATCTGTGCTTTCAAAGAGAATATTTGATTTCTGTTATTCATTATGAAACAAAATTCAGTGGATTAACTTCCCTTGGGGTCAGGCACATTCATGGAAAGAATTTATATCATGACCCAAAGATCACCAGGCAATGGTTAAACCAACCATACACTGGGAAACAACACTTCTAGAAATAAGTCTTTTTCCTACGGTGTCTATAGACTCCTGTTAGGGAATTCGACCTCAAAGCTAATAATTAAGTCACCATGTATTACAGTGTGCTTCTGTAGAACTCCACTTCTTCCCCACCATTGTTGAAACTGATGGGACCATGGTGGCAATCCTGAATTGAGGACCACTGGTCAGAAATAAATGACTTGTCCTGAATTGAAAAGGAGAGAAAGCTAAAGGGATTTTCTCATGGAAATAGCAACTGCACAGGTCAGAGTAGTGGGGAGTGTGCAGGGCTACCACTGAGAAGTTAGTGATGATGTTTTCAAACTGAAGAGTAAAGTACGACAGTGTAATAGAGATAGAGAAAACAAGAGTAGATGGTTGAGGAGAATGAGATGACCATGTTTCTCTGCATCCCCAGGAAGCAGCATCCTCACAGCTCATGCACCCAGTTATCCTGGCCATTCCCATTCAGAGATGGATAGCAAAAATGAAGAGGCACGAATGCTTTCTCCAGAGACCCTAGAGTTACCCTGAATCCCCAATTCCCGTTTAGGTCCCATCTTTCTTGGGTCCAACTTTCATTTTCACTATTCTTCACAAAGCTGCTAGTACTGAAGGTAATGTAAGTGAACCCTGTGAGTGACATGGCCTGACCAAGCACCTGTAAAACAGCAGGTATGAGCCAGTTCCAACCTCCAGCAGGTTCTCAGGGAATAATGGAGTAAAGTGTGCCCCTCCTGTTAGCATCTGGCTAGGCAGCATGTGGAGGAAAGTGTCATTTCTTAATGACTGGGCATAGCAGTGAGGGAAAACGTCAATATATCAAGCAAACTGGTCAATGTGAAATTTTTTCTATCACAAATAGCGTATATGTGGCATGCAGATATATACTTTGTGACCCACACCAAATGCCAGAACACTTCAGTTTTCCTTGGAATCGAAAAGTCCATTAGCTCTTACAATCCCAAATCAACACATAGCTCTTTGGCATATTTTTCTACTGCATCTGATTTTCTAGCCACCTGAAATTCCAGCCTCACACTTTTAATTGTGGCATATTTTTTTTCTTTTATTATTCATATGTGCATACAAGGCTTGGGTCATTTCTCCCCCCTGCCCCCACCCCCTCCCTTACCACTCATCTCCCCCCCTCCCCCACCCCTCAATACCCAGCAGAAACTATTTTGCCTATTTCCTAATTTTTGTTGTAGAGAGTATAGCAACAATAGGAAGGAACAAGGGTTTTTGCTGGTTTAGATAAGGATAGCTATACAGGGCATTGACTCACATTGATTTCCTGTGCGTGGGTGTTACCTTCTAGGTTAATTCTTTTTGATCTAACCTTTTCTCTAGTTCCTGAAGAAGAAAAACAATGACCTGTACTGAAAATGTTCAGTTTTTTTTTTTTTGCAGTATTAGGGGTTAAAATCTTGTCTTTGCACTTGCTAAGCAAGTTCTCTACCACTTGAGACACACCCTCAGTCCTTTTGCTATTTGTTTTTCGAAAGGGTCTCACAGCTGGCACTGAATCTCAAATTCTCCTCTCTTCATCTTTAGTAGTTATGATTACAGAGGTGCCATCACTCAGCTTCTATTTGAGATAGGGGTCTCAATAAGTTTTATTTTTCCCATATCTGGCTTCAACCATTATCCTCCTTGTCTCAGACTCTGAGGTAGCTGAGATACAGATGGGTAACACCTTGCCCAGTAAAATTCGGTATTTTTAAAAGTTTCCTTCATGTTTTGGTGCTCATTCACTTGAACAGTCAAAGTATTAGGGGTTAAAATCTTGTCTTTGCACTTGCTAAGCAAGTTCTCTACCACTTGAGACACACCCTCAGTCCTTTTGCTATTTGTTTTTCGAAAGGGTCTCACAGCTGGCACTGAATCTCAATTCTCCTTCCTTCATCTCTTAGTAGTTATGATTACAGAGGTGCCACACTCAGCTTCTATTTGAGATAGGGTCTCAATAAGTTTTATTTTTCCCATATCTGGCTTCAAACCATTATCCTCCTTGTCTCAGACTCTGAGGTAGCTGAGATCACAGATGGGTAACACCTTGCCCAGTACAAAATTCGGTATTTTTAAAGTTTCCTTCATGTTTTGGTGCTCATTCACTTGAACAGTCAACAATTAAGATTACTGTTTCTTTTGACCTGAATCTTACCTCTTTGTGAGTTCAAGAAAATTATGAATTTTCAAATTATCTGCTATGTTTTTTCTCTCATGTGGGTGGTAATGATGCTCCTACTAGACCTGCACATTTCAAGGGAAAGTCTAACATCTGTAATTGCATTCTACTAGTGGGTGACTAAGCAGGATTTTTGCTTGTTTGTTATACTTTGTGGGACATTGGTGCATTTATTCTGAAATGTCTACACAAATAAAATCAATATGGGTATTTATTTTTTAAGTATAAGAGGTATAACTTCTCTCTCAAATGCATTCCTGGTACATTATATTATTGATAGTTAAGATTTAATAGGTTTACTAATAAAAGTGCTTCAAATTATAAAAAAGGTACTATTTCTTATTACACACACACATTCACACAAACTCACTGTTTGGGACTACAGTGTGCAACAGTTTAGACTTATTATGACATTTTGTAGAGCCTTTCATGAAAATTATTGAACGGGAATGGGAAAGCTAGGATACTGGCAAGAGTATGCCCTTCTTCTCACCAACTACTATTATGTTTTTCCAACAGTATAGAATTTGCCCAGGTTTCCTTGTTGTGGTGTAATACTGGCCATAAAAATGAATCTCTTTCCTCTGTTTACTTGAGGAATGATGCAGAAAGATGTATTTACTACTCTTCTTCCTTTGGAAGAAATACTTAGAAAACCCTGTCAGGTAGAGAGTAAGACATAGAGCTGGTTCATGCTGCAAAAGTTAAGCACATCGGTGACAAACAGAAGAAAGAACAGGCTTTGTTGGGTGCCTGTGACAGAAAGGCAAAAAAAAAAAAAAGTGTGAGTAGAAAGAGGTGTCAAGAAGCTTGTGTACCGTGCCAGAACCCTTGGCTGAGCCATAAATCCTTCATTAAACTCATGACAGGCTTGGGGAGTAAGCTTTCTGAGTGAGTTGGTGGAAATTTGCACCACTGAGAGTTGGCAGAAAGTATAGGAAGGCAGAGGAATTTCACGGGCTCCTGAATAAGGAACTCAAGCCTAGCGAATGGAGCTTGCACTGGGGCAGATAAGCCACTTTGACTTCTGGGTCCATTTGTGTAACACTTTAACTTTTGTACTTGCATTCTGAATACACACATACATACACACACATATATGCATGTATATAGTATTAAGATTGTGAAATATACTGTAACCTCAGCACTTCTATTTTTAAATACCCACTAATTTAAAAGTCATAATAAGGGCAGATGTAGACTCTTCATGTAATTCCTGAGAGGAAAATATAACCATACCTGCTCCCTTCCACAGTGCTATGTAATCTGAGAACTATACTCCTATTTCTAAGAATCATGGTAAATCCAACCCACTGGAATCAAATATGGCAGGGTGAAGATCTCTACAGCATTACCCTTTGGTACATCCTTCATTTCTTAAAGTTACTACTTTTTTTTTGACTGAGAGACAGCAGAGCTTAGAGTCCTTACAGCTGCAAGGTATGCTTCTGATAGGAAAGCAGAGAGAGCTTAATTGCCTCCATTTTTCAGATGAGCAAACAAAGCTTAGAAAGAATAAATATCTTCCCCACGTTCACAGTGCCGCTGGAAGACAGATGTGGGATTCAGATCCAAGTATCTTGAAGTGTATCCTCTACTTTATCTTTGACACCTGTTTTATTCAATTTTTAAAAGTCTACCCAGGACATGAGTTTCTTGTTTTAAACAAAAAGCAACAGGGAGAGAAATCTGGATAGATGATAGAGAGACAGAGACTTAAGCAAATACACACAGATCACACACACATTCACACATATGTATGTCATGAATAAATATTGTGTGTATATGGTATGTATGGATACGTATATCTCCATAATATTCTCATTGTATGTATGACAATTTGGAAATATAAGCAAGTAGAAAAATAAAATATTCTATACATAATTCCTACAAGAACTGCAGTGACGTTTAACCCTGTTTTGCACCCGTTTTAGAATAGTTTATTAGCAATGTCTGCCTTTATAAAGAATACAAGCCTATAGATATCTTTCAGAGTCCATAAAAATGCAAGGAATGACCTTGAAGGTTTAAAGGGGAATGCTGTCTCCAGCAAGTTAAAAATCATGTCTTG